TCAGCTTATTTATAATAAAATTTCTACACTAAATTGCTATCTATTACATAAAAACTATGTAATGATTCCCTCATTTTCTCAATGTAATATTGTTGTAATAATTGAGTAATGACTATCTAATCGCTATGTAATAATCCTTTAACTATGATATATATATATATGAAGAGATATAGAGAATATAATTATATATTCTTAAACTATTACTACATCCTTATACTTAGCCTTTTGATTAGTTTCTTCTTGAAGTTCCTATTTGGAATTTCTAGTTTAGAAGGTTACGCATGTCATCATGAGCTAATGATTTATTACTTCATTTTTTCATTAACTGATTTGGTTAATTTTGCAGATCATCTTTTGCCGACTATTGTGTTATTGATTCTTGCAGATCAATTCACATGATAATCATTTGCAGATCACTTTACTGCGTCAAATTTCTAATTTCCTGAAGATCATTTGAGTTACAATAAGATTTATAGGAATAAAAGAAATAGATATCTAAAAAAAAATACCAATTTATATAAAAAGTTAAAAATAATATTAAAGTTGTTTTTAAAAGTATTTTTATAAATTTTTTCTTATTAGAAAAATAAAAACAACTGTGATGTTATATTATTATAAAAAAATTGTTATAGTAATTAGAATACTTAAAAGTATTATGAAAGTAATAAGTAAGATTGCTAGATAAAATTTAGGGTTTGGTTAGACGTCTAAATGATAAAGGTAAAACTTGATTAAATTATATTAAAAAATCTGCGAAATTTAAAAAAAGTTAAAACTATAACAAAGCTTATAAAAATAGCAAAATTATATTAATTTCTTAGTAAAAATTTAGCGAAATTAAAAGTTTAAATATTTAATCAAATCTAAAATAAAATTCAATATAATTTATACTAGATTTTAAAATATAATAATTTGCTATTTAGCCATCCAATCTATTTAAAATTTAATAAGTATATAAAGCTAAACAAGTGCTTTTTCAACAAATTCAAATTTATAAAAATGCAAATACTAAAACTTGAATAATTATATGAGAAGTGGTTAGTTACTAAAACTTGAATAATTATATGTGAAGTGGTTAGTAGAAAAGGAAAAAATCCAAAATTTTTGTTAATTTTTATTATTAAGACAAATTTATGCACATGATCAAGATTAGCCAAGTGGTCTAATAATATAAATTTGACCAAAATTTAGATTTTCTCCTTTTTTACTGATCACCTCCTATATAACAAAATAATAAAAAGATTGCAAGCATATAAAAAGCTATACAAATGATTTTTTTTATCTTTAATATCTGATTTATAATTTAGAAATAAAAGGATGCAGAAGCAAATAACTATTTCTATAATAATAATTAATAAAAAATTATATTTAAATTTTCAGAATAATTAAAATGATTAGTAAAATAATATTTGAATTTTCAGATATAATTTTTATTAGATTAAATAATTAAAATTTTTAGATTAATTTAAAATTTTTCAGTTTAAGTCAGATACTAGTTCAATTTAATTTAGATTGACCTTTTTTAGATTTATAATCTAAACTAAATCAAACTGAAAATTTTATGTCAAATCAAATTGATTTAAAAATCTAATTTGAACTAATTTATTTAGAGTTTATATATATTTAATTATTATATATCAATTTCTTATAAATTACTGATTTGATTTGAAATGATAGTATTAGTTTTTTAGTAACTAATTATCTTAAAAATTTTTTACTTAATAAAAAAAATTTAATATAAAATATTAAATTATTCAAATTGTTGGTATTAATCATATTTTAAATTTTTATTGGTTATTCTTTAAAATTTAAGAATTAAGTTAAATATAAAATTATATTTTTAAATTTTGTAATTAATAAGTTATAAGTTTTTATAGATAACCAATCATAATTACACTTTTTTATAAGCTATTATATTATAATATTATAAATATCATAAATAATATGAAGTGATAATATAAAGAAATTTTTATATATTAATTATTATATTACAACTTAAATTAGCATTAGGGATGTTAAACGGTACCCGGTCCTTAGGACCGAGTCCTAAGTTTCAAAAATTAAGATTCTGGGTTCCTGCATAAGTTTAATATATTTTTTTAGTTTATATTCTCTAGAACTGGCAAATTTATTGGGACTTTTAGGACCGTTTAGGACCGTTTAACATCCCTATAACTATGTCTTAAAGTAGCGAGCTATATAGTACTCGTGTTACGGGAATTTTTTCTCTTTTTTTTTTCTTTTTAATATATTATATATATATACTGCATATTGAAAATGATCAGATAAACAAATTTTTTGGCTATAAAATTAAAATTGTTGTATGTTCTTTGGATTAATTTCAATACGTTAACGATTCTAACGTCGCGTTGATTTTATTTTTTTTATTAACAATGTAGAAATTAATATTGTCATAATGTCCTATCTAGCAAGAAAAAGTACTGGTTTAACAGGACAAGTAGCTGGTCAAGTTCAAATGTAATTAATTTAAATCAAATAGCAAGTTTATGATTCAATAAAGTAAAATAAGAATAATATGAATTATTCAATTGAAATATTTTCCTTTTTTTCAATTATAACAGTCATAAAGTTGCTAGAAGATATAGCAGTAATGCTGTAGAAATAAACAGGCATAGTAAAATTATTACTCAGCCAAAGTCACAGGGAGCTGCTCAAGCAATGTGTAAGCGCTTCGCATAATCAATCGTTCAAATAACAAATAGGAACGTTTATATATAATATATATATTTGTAGTATATGCCACAGGTTTAAAATCTGAGGATATGAGTAAAGCACAAGTTGGAATTTCCAGTGTGTAAGTCACAAATAATTATTAATTTATCAAAAAAAATAAAGGGTTAAAAAATTTTCTAATTTTATAGATGGTATGAAGGTAATCCATGTAATATGCATTTGTTAGATTTGGCCAGTAAAGTAAAAGAGGGCGTAAAAGAAGCTGGAATGATCGGATATAGATTTAATACAATTGGTGTTAGTGATGGTATCAGTATGGGTACGAGAGGCATGTGTTATTCGTTACAAAGTAGAGACTTGATTGCTGATTCCATTGAAACTGTAAGATATGAAAAATTGTTTTCGACATTCTCGTTCAACTTAAATTAATTCAATTTCCCTTGTTAGGTTATGGGAGGACAATGGTATGATGCGAATATAGCATTGCCAGGTTGTGATAAAAATATGCCAGGTTGCTTAATTGCTATGGGCCGTCACAATCGTCCATCTTTGATGGTTTACGGTGGTACCATACGTCCGGGTCAAGGAACATGTGGACAAGGAATCTTGGATGTTGTATCAGCATTTCAATCATATGGATCTTATGTTTCTGGGAAAATTACCGAGGAAGAACGACTAGATATTATAAAACATGCATGTCCAGGTCCTGGTGCTTGTGGTGGAATGTACACTGCCAATACAAGTAATGATCATAACAAAATTTCTCTAATTTTTTTTAATATTTTATTTTATTTATAAAACTTATTATTTTAATCTTTAGTGGCATCTGCTATTGAAGCGTTGGGAATGTCGCTTCCATATAGTAGTTCAACACCAGCAGAATATCCAGAAAAACATGAAGAATGTTTACAAGCTGGCTGGGCTATTAGAAATCTATTAGAAAATGATATTAAACCAAAAGATATTATGACTCGCAAAGCATTTGAAAATGCGATGATTATTACAATGATATTAGGTGGTTCTACTAATGCCGTATTACATTTAATCGCCATTGCTAAAGCTGTTGACGTAGAATTAAATTTAGATGATTTTCAAAAGATTAGTGATAAAATTCCATTTTTGGCTGATTTAAAACCAAGGTATATAAATATTTTTAGCGCAAAAGTTAGGAAGGGGATAATTATTGCATATTTCAACATAATTATTTTTCTTTATATAAAATAGTGGAAAATACGTTATGGAAGATGTGCACAAGATCGGAGGAGTACCAGGTGAAAAAAATTCCTTTTTATTTTAATAATATGTATCAAAACTTTGCAACTAAAAAAATTAACTTTTTGCATTATATTACAGCCATATTAAAATACTTGCTAGAAAATAATTTAATTCATGGAGATACATTAACTGTAACAGGAAAAACGTTGGCAGAAAATTTATCAAATGTCCAAATACTTTCATTTACAGACCAAGATGTCGTTCATCCGTTATCAAAACCAATAAAACAAACAGGGCATATACAAATTTTACGTGGTAATTTAGCTCCTGAAGGTTCTGTAGCAAAAATTACTGGTAAGGAAGGTTTAGTATTTGAGGGTATTGCAAAAGTTTTTAACGGCGAAGATGATATGTTGAAAGCGTTCGAACAAGGTGAAATCATAAAAGGGCAGGTTATTATTATTAGGTATGAAGGACCTCAAGGTGGTCCTGGAATGCCTGAAATGCGTAAGTATGACTTTAGGATGAAACAATCAATGCTTATTGAACAAGATATCAATACACAACATTTTGTTTATTACAGTTACACCTACAAGTGCTATCATGGGTGCAGGTCTTGGACAAGATGTTGCTCTATTGACGGATGGTAGATTTTCTGGTGGTAGTCATGTAAGTTGATCAAGAACATAGTATGATTATAATTTTTTGCAAATGTTATTTATATATCTTTCATTTTCAATAGGGATTCATTATCGGGCATATAACACCAGAGGCACAGTTAGGAGGTCCAATTGCTTTGGTAAAAGATGGTGATAGAATTATCATTGATGCCGAAAAGAAATATATTAATGTTGATATAAGCGAAGAAGAATTTGCGAATAGACGTTCTTCATGGAAAGCGCCACCTTATAAAGCTACTAAAGGCACTTTATATAAATACATCAAGAGTGTCAAAACTGCAACTGAGGGTTGTGTAACTGATGAATAAAGAAATGAGTTATATTATTGGGTGGGTTTGCTATCCGAGAAGGATTGTTAAAGAAAATTGGTTACGAATGACATCGATCGCTTAACAATCGTTCAATGTATAATTATAAAATAAAATAAAAATAATCTCCAATAAAAAAAAAATCTGGCCGCTGGGAGATAGAATGTTCCTGCAGAAATAGTTGGATTCGAAGTTACATATAATTACAAAGATAATGTCACTTGATTTTAAACTTTACATTAAGTCTGCTTAAACTTGATTTATAACTAAAAACTATTTTTTTACCTAACAAAAAATCAAATGAACATTATGTCGCGGAATATAAGCAAATAGCTTAAGATAAACTTTTTTAAAAATTTCGTAAGAAAAGAATTATTATGAAAATAACAGTGGGTTCATAAGTATCGACAACCTTTTATATTCAAAAAATAATATTATGAATAAAATTAGAAGAGCAAATTAAGCTTAATCAAATAAAAAGATATTTTTATCTAAAGTAAGACATTCTTTTGGCAAAATTAAATCTTGGAATTTATGTATAGAAAAGGTAAAGTATGATTATTAGAAAAAAAATGGAAATAAGTGCCAAGAAAGAAATCAAATTGTAAAAAAAAAAAAAATTAACTTTACATAATAAACATGATAATATAATTGTATTTTTACATAATAAAAGGATTAATAAAAATTGGTTAAAGTCAAATAAATAAAAAAGATTATTTATTATTTAAAATAATTAATAAATGAATTATTTCATTTCTTTCTTAATAATATTAAATTTAATTGTCATTTTTAATCTAATTTTTTTAACTTTAATTAAAATATACTGTATAACAATTTATTATTTATTTGTATAATAATTATAATTGAATTTACAGATAAAATCTATAGATTAAAACTAATGGTAAAATTAAAATCAGCAAAATTTTATATGATATTTAATAGAACTTTACTATTTTATATAATATTATCATGTAATATACTGTATATAATGCATTTATATATTTTTTATTATTTATATTGATTAATAAAACAAACCTAAAATAATTTATTAAAACAATAGTCTAAAAATAAGTTTAATATATAATATATTTATTGTCATTACTTTAAATATATTAATTACAATTTTTTATTTTGATATAAAAATTATTATTTTATCTTTATTAGAAATTTTTAAATCAACACTTTTATGAAAAAAATCAATTTTTTGTTTTTTTATCTATTTTTATTCAGACTTAAAAAAAACTTATCAGTTGATAGAAATGTCAAAGATCAGCATAGGGAGTTAATTTTAATTAGATGATTGATATTTAAATTTAACATTTTAGTAAAATAGTTTTTAAGCAATATAAAAAATTTTATATAATAACTTATACTTAAATTTTGCACACAATCTCATATGGAAGCTTTGCAATAGAAAGGGAGGAAACTCTAAAAAAATTAAAATTTTACTTTCTAAGCTAATTATGATTTTTTTTGTAAAATAAGTCCAGATTTAACATTAACTCAAAAAAAATTTTTTAGAGTTTCCTCCTTTCTATTGCAAAGCTCCTATATATAAATATTTTTTTTTTTTTTTGTACTTTTACTAGGCACGCACTAGTGGTAATATATTTGGATGTATACCCTTCAACAGAATGATACATCTTACAACATGTCCAATTCCACATAAATCTCCCTTTGCTATATTTCAAACCAGTTTGAGTTAGCATTAAACCTAGGTGAATGAGTGTCAATATCCGAATAGACTATCAAACCAATTAACCCACAAAGCAGAGAGATATGGTACCCGGCCATCATTCACATTCATCACAACTACTGGAAAGAGGGTCAAGAACAACCTAAGATAATAGCCTATACCATAGTTACCTCACCATATGTCAAAATCATCCCAAGAATTGAACCCAGGCCTCCAAACCCTAGTTGTGATATAGATACCATGATGATTGAAGACAGTGTAATATCAACCACCTATAACTTATGACTTTTGTTCAATCCAAGTTATACAGTGCCTATCATTGACCTACCTTCATAGGTACCCTTTGCAGACGATGCGGCACTTGTTTATTACAGACCAGCCCCTTAACATAGGTTCCAAACTCTATTGGTTCACTATGCATCAAGTTACTTACCACTATTACCTGTTATCAGGGTGGTGTGTAGATGAAGCAACCTTACACAGCTTATGCCGTGAGAGCTACCATTCTTTATGTAAATAACTATCAATTGGTCACCATATTCTACAAATTCGTGATCTTTAATATACATGGTTTGTATTATCCTATAAAATTTATTTCCAGAATCAAACCGGTAAATCCCATAAATTAAATTATTACGATCTGCCTTGGCTAGGGGCTGAACTAGTGTCTATTGCAGTATAACCTACAATAGGTCTCAGTTGTTACCAACTGAGATAGGCGGCGAGACCCTTTTTATATATAAATATAGTTAGACACATTTTTATATAATATCATAATGATCTTCTTTACCAATTTTTCGCTGATCTACTGATATGATTTGGACTAATTTTAGCTTGTTAGAATCGCGGCACTGAGGAGAATCTGAATATAGTATCAGTTTTTGTGGTAGTCAGCCTACTGAAAAATATTTCTACACTTAAATTTTATTAAGTAAGAATATTTGATGTAGATTGCTAAATTACGCAAAATTGGTATTAATAATCACACTTCAAATATTTACTAAATATTAGCTAGGTTTTGAGGTTTAAAATAAATACAAAACTATGTTTTTAGAATTCGTGGTTGGTGAGTTATAAGCTTTTAAAAGTAAGCAACTCTACTTGCGTTTCTTTTGTAAGCTACTGTATAATGTGGTTTACCAAACCGCTGGTAAAAATTTACCTTTTTTATATTTGAGACTGCAGTCATACTTAATAATTACTTGGTTACTTTTGAGGTTTAGTTGTTTATTACATATCATCCATTTTGGAATACATCAATGATTGAATAAAAATTTTTGTTTTTGAAATTGGAATTTAGAATTTAGAATTTTAATTTTAGTTATCTCAAAATAATATCCAATACTGAAAAAAAATAGACATTTTTATTTAAAGGTAATATTGGCAACTTTTCTATCAAGTATTTCGTTTTAATCCAAACCTTATTCTAGTTTTATTTTATATGAAGATACTTAGCCAGAAGATGTATAAATATTATAGAATTAAAATTCCCAAATATCTTTCTCAAGAAGATATTTGAAAGTCAATGGTTTATTATTACATTCTTTAAACAAAATTAATTAATTTAATTTAAAAATTAAAATTTTTATATTTCAAATCTTTAAATATTTTTTTGCAACGATTCTGTATAGGAAAAATTGCAAAAAAACTATATATTAGGTTAATTTAGTATAGCAGACATTCGTATCATTGGTCAATTTGTATATCGATCATTTCCTATTTATCAATAGGGTAATTAATTTTGATTGGCTCAAATTTTATTATTAAATTAAAAGATTTTTATATTTTTTAGTTATTATACTAAATATATCAATAATAAATTATTAATTATATATGTTTATTATTTTGAAATTAATAAAATACAATTAAAATTTTCAAGTACTATTATTATATATTGATAAAAATTATTAATTATATATGTTTATTATTAATTTTTCATAAAATTTTTAAGTACTATTTCAAATTGATTTGCAATTTCAGAATCAAATAATATTTGCTTTGATAATTTTTCAGGTTCATCATTATCTAATTGTATTTCATCTTCTTGATCAATTTCAATTTTAAACTTTTCTTCTGTAATTCTACAAATAATAGATTTTACATTATTATTAATTTCATTTTTCATATATTTTAAACAATATAAACACTTATACTCAAGATATTGTAAACAATATTAATGATAAATATGACCATATGAAAGAAAAATTGATATATGAAAAGTAAATATTAATTGTAATATCTGACAAGAATTTTGAAGATAACACCTTATTAATAGATCAAATGAAGGATATTTTGAACTGGAAGTCATTATTAATAAATGTCGTTTATCTATATTTATTATATCTAGAGTTGCAATATGACATAAAAGTTTATTTTTACCATGTTAATTAATTTTTATCTATTTGCTTTTTTAACATTATTTTTAACCTTTGTAAATAAATCTAAAAGAAAATAGATGTTTTATTAGTTAACCCTATTAACAATATACTTTTTTGCTAAAATAAATGTATTTTGAAATACATTATTATAACAAAGTTAATTAATAACATGAGCTATTCTTGAAAGTTGTTCATGTATATCTGTTTTTCTTATTTGTTTTCAAATTAATGAATAATAATTTTCTATAGGATAATTATGAAATACTGCAAGATGATTTTTTAAAACATCAAGAATAGGATGATTAATACTTTCCTAATACTAAATATCTAAAAGAAAAATCAATTATGCTTTATTATAATTTTTTCGTTTAAAACGTGCAAATAAATACCATACTCTTACATAAGCTTTGGAAAATAAACATGAATCAAAAAGATATCAAACCTTTTTTTGGAAATTATGTTAAATGCAATGAAGAATGAATTAATGTAGTAGTGTTTAGACCTAGAATCCATTAATCTGAATTGCTAACAGATATCTGTTATTATCAGATATCCAGATTGAAAATTGACTAACAGATTGTCATTTGGATGCAAATATCACCTATCGGATTTAATCGGATAGATTTAATAAGTAACATATACTGTATATATAGATTGATTAGCAAAGGAATATTATGCAACTAACTATTTTTGTATTTCTGCTTTACATTACATAATATATTACATTATAATTATGAATAATATAAATATAATAGATTGAGAAGTAACTTTAGAATCACCAAATAAGAAAATAAAAGTTGGTTGAAAAAAAAGAAGTTGGATTTAGACATACAGTCCCCGGTGAAAAGAATGGCGGAAACGAATTTTTATGGTATATACTAACTTTATTTTATTGTAATTTTTTTTATTTATTTACAAGACAATCA